GTGTCTGGTCTTGTGTGGTCTTGTGCATGGTCTTGTGTCTAGTCTTGTGCCTGGTCTTGTGTCTGGTCTTGTGCATGGTCCGTGTGTGTGCATGGTGTTATGTCTGATTTTGTGTCTGTTTTTGTGTATGGTCTTGAGTCTGGTCTTGTGCATGGTCTTGTGTCAGGTCTTGTGCATGGTCTTGTGTATGGTCTTTTGTGTGGTCTTGTGTCTGGTCTTGTGCATGGTCTCAACTACAACACGGATAATAATCACGGCACCGTTTCAAATAATAATTTCCACATATCGAATGGAATACGGGGAAACATGCACGAACGTTTTGGCTATTACATATGCTTAGTCACGGCAGTCGTAACATTTATCCCTTTTTAGTTACCATATTATCTATGAATAGTGCAATCAAGTGGTTTCTCAGTTGCCACTCCTGACTCGGTAGGCCTATGGGCCTACGGTGAAATGGTTTTGGTATTTCAGGCACGTTTTGTGAATATAATAAAAATAACGAGAACAACCACGGAGCTGCTTCGGTTCAAAAGGATTTTCAAAAAAAATCATTGGATAAACTTGTAGATAAAGGCCAAAAGAGGAAATGCAGCAATGGAAAATTTATTATCCCTGTCATCTGGATACAGGTCACATGATTTATCATATAGCATCAGATAAAATCAGTTTCCATCGCGAACCCTTCCCTTACTAGCTATCTGCAAAGTTCAACCTGACGGGACATGTACTTCACTGTTATTTGGCTTTAAAAATACATTTTTAATTTCACGTGACTTGTCACTCGAGGATGTTATTATCACATCAGGTCAACTTTGCTCTAAAACCCTTCCCCTTTGAGTTACACACAATAAAGTTTGAACCCAATCAGACGTGTTCCACACGAGATACAATACTTTCAATAGTGCTCTTTTAACGTCATGTGACTTGTTACAATATAACGTCATCATCACATGAGGTCAATTCGGATCTAAAACCCTTCCTCTTCATGCTATACAAAAAGTTACTTTAAATGTACTTCACGAGATACAGTGCTTTGAAGAGCTTCGCTTTAATGTCATGTGACTTGTCACTCGATGACGTCATCATCACATCAGGTCAGTCTTTTTCTAAGATTCTTCCCGACAAAGTTTCACCACAATCGGACATGTACTTCATGAGATATATTGCTTTGAAGAGTGTCCCTTAGTGTCACGTGACTTCGCAGCTGATGACGTCATAATGGGAACTTGTACAGGAACGTTTTCTAGCTTGTGGCCTTAGTGTGTGCCCCTGAAACAAACTCAGTAGGATTGAAACCAGTGCAAATACAGTATTCCTGTTGAAAAAATGTTTAAAAAACCTATATATCAAATTAAATATTCGAAATTTAAAAAAAATTACGTGATGACGTGGTCATGACAATTATGGTGTTGGAATATCCGTAAGTAACTGTAGGAAGGTTTACTAAGTATGAATTCAATCAGATTTAAAAAAAAAAATACTAAATTCAAGTAACACGATGGTTTAGTAGAAAGACATGTACAAAACGTATGGGAAAAAATAAATATTCATCACGATTTTCTTCTAGGACCTACCTGACATGAACATCTAAAGGTCTACCAAGTTTGAAATCAATCAGATAAATAGAACTATCAAACTGAAAAAGAAAACAAAACTTTAACGAAAGCAATAGAGTAC